CTATAACTGCAGTAAGTATTATTATAAGGATTGCATCATTAATTATGTATTTGTAGGAACATTTCATTTTCAATGTATGTTGCTGTTGAACATAACATTGAAAGGATACAATCCCATCTGTTACATGTGTAAAACTGGTTTATTACAGTCAACCAGCAGATTGTACACTGAAATTAACATGGTCATTGTTATATTTATATATTCTAAATAAGCTCTTTATTCATTGGCACAACCCCACCTAATGGAATTCTTGCATGTTAATTTATAATATTTACTTCCTGTTATACTTATTAGATCACTTGGGTCCATGATGTCCTTTAGAATCAGAACATTCATGCACTTTTGTGCCTGTAACTCTGCCCTCTCTCTCTTTATATACCACAGTGGACATTCAGACTGCCCTTTTGTTTTATTATTCAGTTTTTGTTTGCTCTTCTGAGTATTTGTAATTTGACCCAACTTTATCTGCCAGTTCCAGTACTTCTTCTCTGGTAGCAGTTCTGGCTCAGAAAATTGATCTTAATGTAAAGATCTTTGAAAGATCACAGGTCTCTTTATCCTCAAGTGCTACGATCTCAAGCAGCTCATATTTATCAATGTTCTAACAGAAGAAACAGGCTTGTTTGTACAATTTTTGACAAGGTCCCGTAGATCATCAATTGTTACTGAATCTACCTAAGGATCTAGCAAGCCATTGATAAAAGTTATAAAATATGATAACCAACAATTTTAAATACCAAAAGAAAACAAGTAAAAATATAATGTGAGATTTTATAAATTCTAAATTATCTGGTCACATTTTTACAACACTAAAAAAAGATATCAAGAGTGTATAGATGAACTCAACAATACCTACTTAGGAAATGTTCAGTTCTACTGACAGGGTTGGCTAGTTGATGAGACTGAATTCAAAACAAGACACACACCAATCTCTATCTTGAATAGTAATTCTGCCATATAACTGCAAGCCAATGTTTCCAAATCTAGAACAAAAAATTAGTGTATATATATATATATATATATATAATCCTTAAAAAAGACTGAAATTTAACAGTTCTAATCCTCACCAATTCAAAAACCATCACATCATTTTTTGCAGCTTTCAGATTTGACTAACGAATGAACATGTACTACATCATCAACAATGCTGTCACAGACTTACCTACCTATGCATGTAGTGTGAACAGTGTTGTTGTTAGTTATTAAGTAAAAAGCTACACAAAGGGCTATCTGTGCTTTGCTCACCATGGGTATTGTATCTATCAGTAAAGTCCACAGACATATTGCTGTTAGCAAGTTAAATGCCTTTGCACCAAAACAGAACAATACAAAATGTACAGTTGCTGTTGCAAACTCTAAGTATACTCGTGGCTCAAAAGCTTTTTCGTTCTTTCTTTCCGAGATGGAGTGACTTTTGTCTTCAATTCACATCAGCTTCAATGTTATTGTACTGTGCAGTTTGGATGTGTCCACCCACTGCAAATCTGAAAAACTAAAATATTAACATGTTAAACAGTGGATTCTACAAATATACATGTTGATTATGGTTATGTTTCTATATAACTCATATAAAAGTTAATTTACTGGAACAATAGAGTTTAATGAGTAAATTCTAGCAATTTTTGACATGTATAAAATAACTAGGTTGTTTCACCATAATATCAACCACATTCTTTTCCTTATAGTTTCTGAAGGACTTCAAGAAAAGGATTAAATTTGTACGTAAAGACAATAAACTATACTTTTACGTTTGTATAATATGAATATAAATCTTTTCTGCCCAACATATGAATTGAATAGGCTAATTATACAGCGACACCTAAAAACGGGTGTCCATATGCACCCATCTACTTATATCATTGATAACTTTATGGCTCCTGTGCTAGTTATGAGAAGTAATCTAATTCAAGCAAGAAATGGATGTATACCTGTGTGCCTCCAGTGACTTATATGGCTTCATTGTTTCTTTGGTGAATGCACCAGATCTCTCAGTTAAATATCAAAAATCTGAAATCAGGCCAGTGGGATGAGTCATCAGTCCATACATTATTTTAAACAAAGGAGTCTGGCAGTATAGCTTGTCCATTATATTTAATGTGGTCAACATAGCAGTACTTTGCTTCTGAGGATACCCCACATACATACTCCAACGGTCTGAACATCTCTAACAATATATCACATGGTTCTTTGTCCTTATATCACTGAAACATTTGCCACTGTATAATCACCGAGCATGAATTTTTGTGATGTTTGTTTACAAACAAGATTATTCCTATTGAAATGGTGAACCATTATGATTAACATGCTTGGAAAGACTAGATCCAATTTGTTTTTCAGTGAATTGCCTGATGATGTAGTTTGTTTTTAGTTGTACAGGTAGATTGTTATGAACCCATAAATCTCAACTGGGTTCCTTACTCTGGTATTTGTTTCAATGGGTGGAAAGAGCACTTCAATGTTTTCATCAACTTGCTTATTTTTAGGTGTGGAAAATGCAAGACATTACACACATAAAAGGTGATAAGGAGTGTGTATAAAAAAAAAAGGATCTATGACACTTTCAAAATATGATTAAATGAAAGATATGAAACAAAACATGCACAGTCCAAATGTTTTTATTTTACAGAACCAGTTTCAAACTTTTAACAAAACTGATTATTTTCTACTTATTTCTGCTACATTTAGCTGGATCTTAAGTACTCATGTTGAATATTAAAAACAGCTTTATTCAAAATTATAATACATAACAATGTCCTAGTGTCTGATAGATATATATTTTACTTGAATCTTTACTGATCATTGAGAATGGAAAAAAATATTTATTCAGTACTCCCATGCATATAACTATCTGAAAAATAATGGGTGGGTTTAAGTTTCTACTTTATGTGTAGGTATGCAGGGACAGCTTTGAAGGACCAATGGTCCCTTTTTTGTCCACATTTTACATTATTATTCTCTGTTTTACACATACAAGTTAAAAAGAAATTGTACAACAGAGATTAAAATGCTTCTTCTTATTATTTTTTGAAAATATCTAACAACTTTTAAAAATTACAGCAACTAAGTTAAATATTTCACCATTAAAGATATCTCATATAGTTAGACAAATTCAAACTAAAATGCTGAGAAGAAAAAAAAAAATGTTGGTTACATATAATATATATATTGTTTAAGTTCATTAGCAAAAGCTCTTATAGCTCGAGTAATATTCCAAAAGGCTTTAACTCCTCAGATCAGCCAAAGCTACAGAACTCTTGTCGCCATATGGTTGAAGATGCTTGTAGTATTTAAATTCTATGATCAAATCAATTACAAATCTAATGAATACTGTATAACAACAGCCCAAATGAGTTACAATGTAATGAGACCATACACACTATATATCAACACAATTTTTTCACCCCTTTCTTATGATACAACAGTTAAAAATGCAACTTCTCATAGCTAAAATATACATTTTTTTTTTCAATTAACATTTTACTCTTCATGTTACTCAGGCACATAACACAACTTTAAATTCATAACATTCTATTAAGAATTACAATTTCATAGTTTTTTTTTTGCACGAGATAAAAATCCAATTAATGTATTATAAAAATTGGAAAAAAATAATGAATAAAAGAAGTTAAATACAATTATAAGGTCTAATATTTAATAAAAAAGCCATTCCTTACAGTCTATGTTAATTACAGTCACAAAAAATAAAGGGCTATTAAACTGATTTTATTGAAATACCATTTTTATTGCATTTATTAATTCTTTGTATCAGATTAGGAATATTTTTTTATAAAAAATGTACTCCCAGATTTATACTTTTATTGTTCTATGACTGGAAACTGTTGTACCTATGCAAGCAGGTTAAATGAACACATTTTACCAACTCATCTGAGACAGCAGATAATATAATATATACTACGGTCTGTTCCATATGTTGTACGAAAGATGAGTTAAAGTTTAATCAATGCCATGATATTCTCCAAATTAAGGACATAATAACCAGAAAACTATTTAATTCCTTGATTTACTTAAACATTATATAACAGTATGCATGATAAATAATATTTAATAATTTTTAAATTTATAAGATACATTAGTTAGAAAGTGAAACTTAAAAGTGTAAAATGTTTCAGGAAACTAAAGAGTACTTAATTATCAGACAAGAATGAATTTCTGAATATAAATTGCACAATAATGAATAAAATAGTATTTTAAAATATAACATTATATTGATTCTTTTTTTTAAATGAGGAGCCTTATAATTGTGTTTAAATATATTTTTAAAGTTAAGACATATATCTTTCTAAGAATTTAAAGTTCATTTGGGAAAGATCAATTCTTAATTTATAAATGAATATAAATATTTAGTAATTAAAATTTTACTACAAACAACTGAATAATTAATTAAATTTTCTCAAAATATTTTTGGTAGCATGTTTCAAATATTAATCATTTTTAATTTGGTTTAATAACTCAGTGAGTTTATATTTTCATTTTCTTTTAGAATTTTTGCATAAAACCACATGAACAGTTAGGCTGCACATAGCCATCCCTAATTTTAAACTGAAAGACTAGAGGGAATGCAGCTAGTCAACAGCACCCACCAACAACTTTTGTCTGACTGAAGTGTTGTATACAAGTTACTCTTATAGCACACCCACAGCTCTAAAATGTAGAGTACATTTTTGCAGCTGTAAACCAAGAATACATGCTAATCTCTATTTAATTATTGGATTTCAAATTTATCAGTAAAGAAAAAATATTAATTAATTTTCTGGTAATTCCATAATGTTTTGCTGAACCAATTTTTGAAAATTTTTCTTACATTTTAAGCTAGTGTTTAGTGACCAACATGGATTTGGAAATATTTTTATAATTGTATTAAATAAAACAGGTTTTTTAATATATATATACAGTTCTAATAAACAAGTAAATTTACTACATAAAACTTTATTTTAGAATTTCAAATATATGCC